ATACGGAACTTAAATTTTTATCAAACCTGTTTTATCAGTAAACTTATAAACATAATTATACATTGTTGAAAATTGACACAATTCATATGATATATAATTTTGATAATAATGATAATAGATCAATTTAAAAAATGTAAATTAAATTTTGATTTTGCCATTGTGTACGATAAATTAAATTCAACCACACCGACGTATTTCTGACACATTCTTATAAATCTTTCTACATTTTTATCTCTTCAGGGTGGTGTTCTCGAATGTATCCTTAGATTCGTCCTAAGTCACATCCTAAGACCAATTTAAGGATGGTCTTAGGATCATATTAAGACACTCTTTAGTTATGTCTCAAAGGTATCTCAGACGCATTTTATCATGTTTATGTAAGACCGTCCAAAACATATCCTAAGTGCGAAATTTTAAATCATAAAAATAATTTTTTGATAAAACATATTTATTAAAGACGAAACCAATTCATAAATTTGTTTACAAATTTCATAATCACATGTACATAATGTAATGCTTGATTTCAAATGTAATTATAAAATGACATACAAAAAGATTGTAATTTAAACATGTTAAAGTGGAAAACAAATTGTTTTGAAATGACAATTGAATTTGTAGTGTCATCGTATCGTGAAACACTAAGTTCAATGTTTAAAAACATGCATTGTGTCTTTATATACGAGTTAATTACCGATGGTGCGTTTCATTTTATGTTCATCTTCACGCGAAGTATTTGGCAAAACGCATGCACAAAGTTAGGATGATGCTAGGATGATCTTAAGACACCTAATTAGGTGTTCTAAAGTTAGGTAGAAAAACGCGATATATCTTAAGTTAAGAGAGCTTCGAGAATACTAATTAGGACAAAGACGTGTCATAAGATGCTTCAGGACACGTCCTAACACTACAAACCAGTAAAAGTCTGAAATGACCTATATTTGTACTCGACTGTACTGATTTTTACTGGACCAGTTTAAATTGGTCTGAAATTTACTTGATAATACTCGACTGTAGTCTGAACCATGCTCGACCTACTCTGAACCATGCTCGACCTAGTCTGAACTATACTCGACCTAGTCAGATTCATACTTGACCTAGTCAGAATCCATACTCGACCACGTCTTAACCAACTTAGACCAATTTTTTTATATTTATCTATTGTATTTCATAAATGTGGGGATTGTTTTTAACAACTATTACCCCTGGCTAGAACAACAATTTGAATTTAAAATGTATTCAATATGGCATTGACACCAACATTTAACAATAAACATAATATAAATTTAACACTTAAATATATATCACAAAAAATAAAAATAAAACAAGCTGAACAAATGATCTCAAAACTGAATTGAGACTAATATTTTCAATGTTATTCAAAATGCTTTGAATACTTCAGATATATCTTGTGGTTACTGGATAATTTTCAAACGGACAGAACGGACGTCGTCGGATAAATATACATTAGTATACCGCTGTTCGAAACTCATAAATCGATAGAGATAAAAATAAATCCGGGTTACAAACTAAAACTGTAGGAAACGCATCAAATATAAGAGGAGAACAACGACACAACAAAAACACAACATTAAAATGTAACACACACAGAAACGAACTATAATATAACAATGCCCATTTACCTAACTTGGTTAAAGAAAAAAATGGTGGGTTGAACCTGGTTTTGTGGCATGCCAAACCTCCCGCTTTTATGGCAACGTCAAACACAAAACCAAAACGACAACATCACATGCCAGGACCACAATACAAATAAATGGGAGAATATATAGGACAAAAAACACACGAATAATAGCTAACAAAAGGTACTAGGCGTAAAATTCAATACGCCAGACGTGCGTCTCGTCCACACAAGACCAACCAGTGACGCTCAGATGAAAAAAGTTTGAAAGCCAAAACAAGTACAAAGCTGAAGAGCACTTAGGACCAAAACTTCCAAAAAGTTGCGCCTAACACGGCCAGGGTTTTCTGCCTGGGACAAGAACATCCTTATTATTTAGTATAATTTATAATTTTGCAAACAGTAAATTTTATAAAATGACTATATAATAGATATACATGATAAAACCGAAGTGAGGACTAACTACAGAATGAAAACGGATACATTACATAACACAACTTAATCCAACACATATAAATACATAGCCGAGTTAATAATACTGGCGCTGAACGGACATGCAACGGATATGGACGTCCGTTCTTATACGTTAGACGTCCGTCCATATCCGTTGCATGTCCATTCAGCGCCAGTATTATCCGACGACGTCCGTTCTGTCCGTTTGAAAATTTTGAACATGTCAGATTTCTTACGCGTCATGAATGTTTATTATTCATGATGAATCGTTGAGTAATAGCTCGTCTCCACTATCAAGCACCTATTATTGAAGCCAGACTGCACTAAAATGTTGCAAATATAAACCTTCTAAACTATAAACTAAAACCAGTTACAGGGGAAGTTTTTAATTATTTTAATGTCACGTGTAAGTGATTTACATGTATTACTATTGCCGCCTTTAATTTTCCGCTTATCTTGTTCATCCGTTTTATCCGGTACGCTTCCGTTAGGTGTCCGTTTAATGTGGTACTCGTCCGTTGGATGTACGTTCGACATCCGTTCAGTCCGGTACGTTTCCGTTTCTTGTACGTTGCATGTCCTGTGTGTGTCCGTAAGCCATTCGTTACGCGTCCGTCATATTTGGTCAGTACAACAACGGACTCCCAACGGATGAAACATTTTTTTCAACGGAAAACCTTTTTACATCCGTTTGGCATCCGTTCGACCTATTTGATAAGGTGTAACCACATCTTAAAGCTGTGGTCACACCTTACCGGATATCACGAACGGACGCCTAACGGATCATAAAAAAGTTTTCCGCTGACAAAATTGTTATCCGTTGGGATTCCGTTTAATTTCGACCAAATACAACGGACGCGTAACGAATGCATAACGGACACACACAGGATATGCCACGTACGAGAAACGGAAACATACCGGACAGACTGGATCTCGAACGTACATCCAACGGACGAGTACCGCATAAAACGGACACCAAACGGAAGCGAACCGAATAAAACGGATGAACAAGAAATGCGAAAAATTAAAAGCGACAATAAAAATACATGTAAATCGCATGAATATTCATAAAGATTCTATGTAACTGGTTTCGGTTGTTCTTCAAGCTATGCAGTTGCTTGATAGTGAAGACGTGCTCCTACTCTAAGATCAATAATGAATAATAAGCATTCATGACACTCAAGATATCTGACATACCAATGATTGGCATTTCTGACTCGAAATTTTCAATTGGCATTTATCCGTTTCACATCCGTTCATCATCCGTTTTATCCGTTATACGTCCGGTAGAAGTCCATTTCACATCCGTTCAACATCCGTTTTATCCGTTATACGTCCGGTAGATGTCTGTTGGTGAACTTATCCACCGGACCCTTAACGGATGAATAACGGACAAGTAACGGATACAAAACGGAAACGGAAGGGACGAGTACCGTAAAAAACGGACGCTTATCGGATGTACCACGGACACTTCATTCTTTGAACATCCGTTCAAGGTTTTGAACATGCTCAAAATTTTCCACCGGACAGAACGGACAACGACGGATAAAACGGACGCTGAACGAACATTAAACGGAAATGAACGGATGTCTAGCGGATAAAAACGGACATCTAACGGACATGAACGGACTAATAAAAAATTTTCCGTTCGGCGTTCGTTCGCGCTATCCGTTAAGGTGTGACCGGGGCTTAAGATAGCTTCGGGAACACCTATCCTGATAAACAAGTAATTGTGAGATAGGTGGAAAAATCGTCAACTGTTCTCTAAACAATTGGATTTAAATTTATGATTATAATCTTATTAATTAGCTTTATTTCATTTCATAAACCATGGTTATCTGTTTGTTGTTTTAATACATCGAATCATTTTCTTAATATTTACAGGTCATTTCATTTCGGTTATGATTTGATTCTTTTAATTTGCATTAAAGCAAGATAACGACAGATTCCAATGTCCTACTTGTAAACTTTTATCCTTGCAGGTTTGATTGAAAGAATCATGCGAACACAAATGAATTGCTGTATACCTCAAATTCTTAGTCTGATCTTAGCACTGCAAATATTTTCAACAGAAGGTGAGAATAAATTAATATTATCATTGATATTATGACTTATTTTAGCCAGGTAACATTCAAGTTTTATGGTTTTATAATATTTCACTTGTTTTTTCAAAAGTCATTTAAACCTCGGGCCCATAAAACATATTTGACAGAGTGTAAAATTACAACAATCGAACACATCCCAATATTTACCTCTTATTAAAATGCCATTTAGTATATATACGTAACACAATTGATACTTATTGCCTTGTGTCATAAATTTAATTTGTGTAAAGAGGTTTAATAGTTTATTAATACTTTAAGCTTCAATGATAAATTCACAATAACGCTTAATGACAACTTACGAGAAATTTTACTTCTGTATTAAAGTTTCAGTTTTACTTCTATATTTAAGTTTCTCCAATATAAACAATATAAAATACCTTGCTTTCGGCAATTACAATGTATTTTAAGGTCCGTTAACCTTAGTTTTAAATAGAAATTTGAAGAACAAAAAAAACAAAAAAAACAGATACCAATAAGTATTTCACAGAAGTGCTAGAAAAGTCTATCGTCGAAAGTTCAGACACCTTAGACACTTGTTCTTTAAAGTTAACTGTCAATTGTATCACCTAAACACACGTCATCTGAAAATCCTACAACAATGTCAACAGTAATACCTTCAACTACGTAATTTGAAGCAACTATAACTACATCACATGAAAAACCCACAACTGAAAAATCTTTAACTACTGGAAATAAATTACAACCTACAACAGTGTCAACTGTAACACTCACAATTACATCACATGAAATACCCATAACAGTGTCAATTTAAAATACCCTCATCTACATCATCTAAAATATCTACAATGACCTCTATCGTAACACTCACAGCTACGTCATCTGTGAAACCTAAAACTGTAGCATCTGAAGTAACTACAGTTACGTCATCTGAACTGCTTACAGTGACTCTAAATGTAACACCTACAGTAGCAACATCTATAACATTTACAGGAACGTCATCTGAAATGACTACCGCTCTTGCATCTGAAATACCCACAGCTACGTCATCTGTAACAGCTACAGCTGCAACGTCTGTAAAACCTACAACTATGCTATCTGAAACTTCTACAACGTCATCTGAAACACCCACAACAACGCCATCAGTAATACAAACTACGTCATCTGAAACACCTAAACCAACGTCATCTGAAACTTCTACAATGTCATCTGAAACACCCACAACAACGCCATCAGTAACACAAGCTACGTCATCTGAAACACCTAAACCAACGTCATCTGAAACTTCTACAATGTCATCTGAAACACCCACAACAACGCTATCAGTAACACAAACTACGTCAGCTGAAAAACCTAAACCAACGTCATCTGAAACATCCACAACAACTCCATCTGTAATACCTACAACGTCATCTGAAACATTTACAACAACGTCAGCTGAAAAACCTACAACATCATCATCTGAAACACATACAACGTCATCTGAAACAACGACAACGTCATCTGAAACACCTATAACGTCATCTAAAACACTTACAGCATCACCTTCAACACCTTCAACAACGTCATCTGAAACACATACTACGTCATCTGAAGCACCTACAACAACGTCATCTGAAAAACTTACACCAACGTCATCTGAAACACCTACAACAACGTCATCTAAAACACATAATTCGTCATTTGAAACATTTTCAACGTCATCTGAAACACATGCAACGTCATCTGAAACACATGCAACGTCATCTGAAACACATACTACGTCATCTGAAACACCTACAACTACGTCATCTGAAACTCCTACAACTACGTCATCTGAAACACCTACAACAGCGTCATCTGAAATATATACTACGTCATCTGAAACACCGACAATGTCATCTGTAACACCTACAACTTCATCTGTAACACCTACAACTTCATCTAACACACCTGTAACGTCATCTGTAACATCTGCAACTACGTCATCTCCTGAAACACCTACAGCGTCATCTGCTGTTACACTTGCATCTATGTCATCTGAAGTAATTTTAACTACGTCACCTGAAATAGCAAAAACTCGTACAACATCGTCATCTGAAATTCCTACAATGTCATTTATAACATCTACATCTACGTCATCCGAAACAACTATAACTGTGTCATCTGTTACACCTACAACTTTGTCATCTGAAACACCTATAACGTCATCTGCTGTTACATCTGCAGCGTCATCTGAAACACCTACATCGTCTTCGATATCTACATCTTCTTCTTCTGAAACATCTACAACATCATCTTTATTATTCACAACTACGACATCTGAAACACCTGCAACTACGTCATCTGAAACACCCACAGCGTCATCTGGTGTAACACAGACAACAACAGCATCTGAAACAGATACATCTACGACATCTGAAACACCTTCAACTACGTTCTCTGAAACACCTACTATTACGTCATCTGAAACATCTACAGCTACATCATCTGAAACACCTACAGCGTCATCTGCTGTCACACCGACAACTACGGCATCTAAAATATCTACATTTACGTCGTCTGAAACACCTAAAATTATGTCATCTGAAAAAATTACAGCGTCCTCTGCTGTAACACTACCAACTACGTCATCTGAAACATCTACATTTACGTTATCAGAAACACCTGCAACTACGTCATCTAAAACACATACATCTACGTCATCTGAAGCACCTACAGCGTCATCTGCTGTAATAACGAAAACTATGGCATATGAAGCATCTACATCTACGTCATCTGAAACACCTGCATTTACGTCATCTGAAACACATATAACTATGTCATCTAAAACACATACTGCGTCATCTGAAAAACCTACAACAGCGTCATCTGAAAAACCTACAACAACGTCATCTGAACCACCACCAGCTTCATCTGCTGTAACAGCGATAACTACGGCATCTGTGACACCTGTAACAACTACAGGTACATCATCTGTAACACCTTCGACTACGTCATCTGTTACAAATGAAAGTACTCCATTGGAAACACCTCTAACTACGTCCTCTGTTACACATACAACAACATCCCAAACTACAACAACTGATAAACCTACGTTAACTACATCACCAGTTATACCTACAACAACAACAACTGATACAGAACCATCTTCTAAACCCCCAGATAAAAGTGAGTATATTCATCTTACAATGATTTTTTTTTCTGCACATGTTAACTGCCATGATAAGAACGAAATAAATGCCATTCCGAGTTAAGAATTTTTTAAATTACAAGACTGATCCGTTTTCCTGCGAGAATATTACTGCTGAACAAGCATAGAAGCAAGTGACCTAGAATGTAATGTCACCTATGTACTCCTTAAACGACAAAATACTTAATATCTAGATAGTTTGTGTCGGCGGCCCAATGGTATAAGAAGTCGAACAACTGTATCACTAGCACATTAACACTGAGGTTGTGCGTTAGGATTACCTACTTGACAGGTGCGCTCGACTCCAATCTTATTCAAATAGGAATGTTATTTTTCCTTCTGAAGGTTGATTGTTCTTCCCGGTCACTCCGGCGTCTTTCGTCAATGAATCTCCATAAAACAATAGGGCTGCAAGTGGCATTAAGCACTAATCAACCAATCAACATTAATCTAAATGTATTGAGGAACAGTTCATAAAAAGAATAATTTATTTATTATTTTTTTTGAGATTTACTGAAATATATAAACATTAATTGAAAGAAATAATCTTGAAAAGTCAAGAACTTCTTTTTTAAGATTTGCAGTATAAAATCATGTAAAGCATTGTACATGTTACAGATAACATAATACAATACTAATGCTAAAACAAACTGAACAAGGTTTTGAGAGTATTATAGAGTATGTGGTAACTGTAACGCTGTAAAAATAACTTTCTGTGTTACTTGTGTAACAATGAACTTTATTGGAAGTTATTAGGACAATGAACTACATCCCCTCAATATTTAAGATAGCTCCTATTGGATACTTTAACATATTTGTTTTAACACATTTCTTGTTACCATTTGCACATTTTTTTGTATACAGACGTTTGATCGAATAAAAATAAACCGCATCATAACGTGTTCAATGGTTTTCTGTTTGTTTGTTAGTATTTATTTTATTCTACTTCTTATTGATGTACACACACAATAGAAAGTGGTTTATGGTGTTAAATGTAGTGTTCGTTTCTTGTTTTTTTTTATGGGGTCTTTTTTGTTTATTTTCTGTGGTTTTTGACTGTTTGCCATTTTTTGATTTTTTTGTTAGTTACTATGGGATTTTTTTAACGAAAATTGGCAATATTTTTGCATATGGTACATGAAGGTTAACAATATTGCATTTGGGTATTTTAAGTTTACTGCAAAACCCAATGCCACTAAAAGAAAACAAAAACAAGAATGTGTCCATAGACATGATAGAACATGGATGCTCTACTCGCACTATCATTTGCTATGCTCAGTGGACCGTGCAATTGGGGTACAAACTCTAATTTGGCTTTATCATTTGAAAGATCATATCATAGGAAATATGTATACTAGGTTTCAAGTTGATTGGACTTCAACTTCATCAAAACTACCTTGACCAAAAGCTTTAACCGGAAGCGGGACAGACATACGGACGGACGAACAAACGAACGAAATAACGAACAAACGAATGAACGGTCGAACGGACGCTCAGACCAAAAACATAATGCCCCTCTACTATCGTAGGAAGGGCATACAAAAAAAAAAGTTTGATCGAAGTATTGTGTGCTTTATTTCTGTAGATGTTCGGGTAGAAGTGGAAATAAATATATTCTTGCAAATGGCCGGACAGAACTTTTCATTAAGCGTAAATGATTCTACATCAAACGAATTTATAGAGATGAAAATTAATCTTACTACTTCGGTAAGCTGCTATTTATTTTTTAAAAAGGTAGTTAAATCAGAATGTACTACAACATGTATCTCATACCAATATTCAATGTAATCATATCACCTTGCACATACACATAAGATGTGGTATCATTACCATAGATGTTATTTTATTGTTTGTTTATCAACGTCCAGTGACAAGTGTTTAGGACGGAAACATAGTAACAGTAAATACAATACGTAGGTCCTGTATTATATGACATCCGAGATGAAGGTCGGGAAAATTTGGTCTGCCATGGGAAAAAGATATGGTATATTGGATAGGGACAGAAATATAGCGCTGCAACATTTCTTGTAAGATAAAAAGAAAATTTTTAGAAACTAAAAACCAAATGTTCAGGGGTCTTTTTACCCGAAACAACATTTTGCGAAACAACCAAACAGCGCAAGAAAACATTTGGTTGAAAAAAAAAAAAAAATCAGAACAAAATTGAAAGGTCTTTCCACTGAACAGACATAATAAAATATATAACAGATATTTAAAAAAGTCGAAAAATAGATATACGATAACTTATGTTGTCCATTATTTTTGTAGTTGTATAACCAGTACACAAGTGTATCAGGATTTGTAGGCTTCGACATATATAAATTCACGTATGTATATTGATGTAACAGATACGTATATTAATGTATCAGGGGTGTCTATGTGTCACTGTTCCACTCATGTATACTAAGGAACCGTGAGCTGCCGCAAAAATTAAACAACAACAAACTTTGACCTCAACCAATGTAAATGTAAATATGGTAAATTCCTTTAACCCCCCCTCTCCCTCCAAAAAAAACAACAACAAATAAAACAACAAAAACAAAACAAAACAAAACAAAATACAGAATAAAAAAAAAAAAAAAAAAAAAAAAAAAAAAAAAAAACAAATGAAAAACGATAGACGATGCCTTGGCTAAATTTTCACGACAGATGTATGTCACAATAATTAGTACTAGCAATACAAAACAAATACGAATCCAGATGACAACATATTAGTTTTGAAATATCGGCACACCGTCTCAATGGAAGAGTCGAATGCAACGCAGAATGTGTTGTCGAATGTGTCTTATCTATTTGTAAATTTACATCGCAAAATTTATTTAGATAAATAGTAAAAGATAGAAAAACACATTGCGGTGAATACAAAAGCGACGGTCTGAAGTTTTTTAAAATAAAATCCTACATTCTGAATGTTAATCTAGGCGGATTTAGAGGGGGCAGGGGACCCGCCCATATTGGGGGAAAACTTGGATGATTACATAGGGAATCACTGAAGAAAGACTGGACTGAGCCTCGTCTTAGGCAGTCAGTGGGCCGACATTTATGAACATTTTCTGGATCCGCTACTAATGTATGTCGGACAATATTTAATTAACAGTTCTAAAGGTTTGACAAAGCGAGGAGAGAGAAGTTGACTTTTTTCAAGTCATTGGTCAGGAGACTAATTATACTTCGAATCAGCCGCTTTTTTACCACCATTGACCATGAAATTAATTATAATTACAAACCAAATGTTCAGAGAACAATTGAAGGTCTTTTCACAGCAATGTTCAAATTTATTGAAAAGAAGCTAGTTCTTGTTTACTCAAAGTTAAAATTGTCATCTTATCAGTTTCTTCATACTGATGCGATAAAGATAACTCTTACAAAGAAAATTCTTCGGCTTAGAATGGGTGAAAATAAAAAGCGCATAAACTGTATGATACTATATAAGAAATACCTTAGCGACATATTGCGAAACAAGGATTTTAGCGAGAACAAAATTTGTCTGAAGAAAATAATAATAATTATAACCAATTGTTCAGAGAACAATTGAAAGTCTTTCCACAGCAAATTTCAAATTTATTGAATAGAAGCTAGTTTGTTTTTACTCCAAGTTGAAATTTGCATCTTATTATCAGTTTCCTCATACTGATGCGATAAATAAAAAGTATTTACACTGATTCCAAAAATATATGGTTTATATATACTTTTGCCTGTAAAAAGGGAGATAATATGCTACTTCCGGTTTATAAAATATCACTTCCGGTCTCAAATGATAGATTAATTTATGACTTCAAAAAATATATGGTTTCTATGTACTTCTACATGAAATAAGTGCAAAAATGACTACTTCCGGTTCACTCAAGGTCACTTCCGGTTGACATTTTTCAAGGTCATATGTCACCCAACATTTTGCAAAAGATCTTATGGCTTTATCATGTACCAATATTAAGTAATAATCAATTTACCTTAAAATAAAACATTTCAGGGGTAATAACTCCAATAAGATGTCGCTGGATTGTCTCAAACCAAATGTATCATATCTTCATCACAATATAACAAACATTTTGCACTTGTTCTTTAATATATAACATTAAAAATATCGGGGGAAATGCAAAAACAAGCAAAAGACAAAATTCAGAACATGACCTTGACCTTTGACCTTGACCTCATTTTCGAAGTTAGGATCCAAGGACCTTAAATAAAAAGACTATAGATTTATACGGCTTACAGTTTATGAATAACAAGAACATAACGACAAATTTATTTGATAAAGGTAGATAACTCCTATAAAATTTCATCAAATCGCTTCGATCCAAATTAGCCAAAAATTCCTGAGGATGTAACGAACAATTTTTAAAAAGAATTTTGTCGAGATCTTTTTTTGTTACGAAGGAGATGCACACAGATGATAAGCAGTGAATAGGGAGATAACTCTTACAAAGAAAATGGTTCGGCTTAGCAGGGTGAAATTTAAAAGCGCATAAACTATACGATAAAATATGAGAAATATCTAAGCGACATATTGCGAAACAAACATTTATCGCAAGAACAAAATTTGGCGGAAGAAAAAAAAAATAAAAAAAATAATAATAATTAAAAACCAATTGTTCAAAGAACAATTGAAGGGTTTCCACATCAATTTTCTAAATAATTGATGAGAAGCTAACTCTGATTTACTCAAAGCTACTATTGGCGTCCAATCATAGGTTTCTTCATACTGATTCAATAAACATATGGTTTCTATAGACTTTTGCCTGAAATAAGGGAGATAATTGTCAACTTCCGGTTTAGAAAATGTCACTTCCCGTCTCATATGATAGCTTTATTTACACTGATTCCAAAAAAATATGGTTTATATATACTTTTGCCTGTAAAAAGGGAGATAATTGGCTACTTCCGGTTTAGAAAATGTCACTTCCGGTCTCATATGATAGATTGATTTACACTGATTCCAAAAATATATAGTTTATATATACTTTTGCCTGTAAAAAGGGAGATAATTGGCTACTTCCGGTTTAGAAAATGTCACTTCCGGTCTCATATGATAGCTTTATTTACACTGATTCCAAAAATATATGGTGTATATATACTTATGCCTGTAATAATGGAGATAATATGGTACTTCCGGTTTATAAAATATCACTTCCGGTCTCAAATGATAGATGAATGGATGACCATTCAAAAAATATATGGTTTCTATGTACTTCTACATGAAATAAGTGCAAAAATGACCACTTCCGGTTCACTCGATGTCACTTCCGATTGACATTTTTCAAGGTCATATGTCACCCAACATTTTGCAAAAGATCTTATGGCTTTATCATGTACCAATATGAAGTAATAATCAATTTACCTTAAAATAAAA